GTGCTATGCGGTTGAAATTTTACAGTACAGATTTTCAAGTATAGCAGATTAGACATAAAATATCAATGGTTTATATTGAGAATTTTTTTGACAAAACTAAAAGAAATCTACTGTTAGGAAATGTCAAAGATGTCATAAAAATTTCGTAGAGATTTGGATAGAAAAAACATAATAGCAAGATCAAATAGATGGTGCTATACGGTTGGAATTCTGCAATGTATCTTTCGTCATAAAGATGAAAACTTTATGACGAAAAGTTTATGCAGCAATATAGGAATAATTTTTTTTGAGATTTTTAAATAAGAATAACTAAATTGCAACAGCAGTAAGGTAGAAAACCAGAACCTGTTGCAATTCACGAGGAGATCAAAGGATGATCCGTGGTGGTGGAGATGACGACGGAATTTGGCGATGATCTTTTAAGCAATTGTGGGAATTGCTTTGGATGGTTGTGGAGGGTTGATGGATGGTTGTAGAAGGGCAGCGAGATGCCAAGAACGCTGCTCTGATACCAGGTGTTAGAACCTTTGTAGATTCTAAACTCGGGGTTGATCTTTTTAGGGGATCGGCCTCCTTGAAACTCTATAGGGGTTCCTCCCTCCAAGTTGCTGCTCAAAGGCTGCAGAAAAGATTCATCTATTGCTTATCAAAAGAGGAGGAATACATGGCTATTTATAGGGTTTCTAAATCCTAACTTGTAATATGACTCCTATTCAAGACTCCTACTTCTAACCAACTCCTAATAGGACTTCTACTCAAGACTCCTATTCCTTTACAACTCCTAATTTTCTCTAAGAAACAACCTTCTAACCCTAGCCGGCTTCTTCACCTCTTTAATAGAGGTCGGCTTAGGTAGGTTTTACATGAATGTCCCTCTCAATTAGGACTCTCCTAACTAGAGTCCTAACATCGTGATCTCATCACGATCGGATTCCCATTGCACAGATTCAAAGACATCATAATATATACATGCATATATGTAATAGTCAATATAAAGTGATAAATACCAAAATATAATAAGCAAAAAGATTTCGTGTCAAGTCACACGTGACATCACTCGCATAATTGGCTTGCTGAGCACTTATGACTAGCATGTACTAGGCCAGATATAACTCATGCAGTTAGAGGTATCAGTCGATTTCTCTCTAATCCTGGTAAGAAACATTGGGCAGTAGTAAAATGGATATTAAGATATCTAAAAGGTACTTCCAAGTTGTATTTATGTTTTGGCAAATGAACCTGTGCTAGAAGGGTACACAAATGTAAACATGGCAAGTGATATTGTTTCCAGAAAGTCCACTTCGGGATTCTTGATGACATTTGCAGGGGGGCAGTCTCTGGCAGTCTAAGTTACAAAATTGTGTTACTCTATCAATCATAGAAGCAAAATATATAGCAATTATTGAAGCTTACAAGGAAACTTTGTAGATGAAAAAATTTCTACAATAATTGAGCTTGAAACAGAAAGGATATACTATTTACTATGATAGTCAGAGTGTCATTTATCTCTAAAAAAAATTCAACATATCATTCTAGATCTAAGCATATTGATGTGAGATATCACTAGATTCGTGATGCACTTGAGATGAAAGAATTACAGTTGAAAAATGTATATACCAATAAAAATGAATCAGATATGTTGATAAATTCTTTATCTAAGGAAAAGCTTGAAGTATGTAGACAAAAAGCAAATTTAGTACAGCCCACCATATAAGATGAATGAGGAGAATTCCACTTGGTGAGTCCTAAACTTTTTTTTTGATGAGATCGATCCATGTGACAATGATATGATATTCTTGAGCCAAGATACGTGGTCTTAATATTATTATAATCCTCTTATTATTTTAGAGAAGATTTATCGTAAACCTGTTATCATTACTAGTGATAGTGGAAGTTTGAGGTGGACTAGGGTCCCGTGGTTTTTCTTACATTGATTTTTCACATAAAATTTGACGTCTCACTTTGTGATTGATTCATTGTTCAGCTGTTTATGTTATTTTGGTTAATATGTGTTTTTGATATCAAGTTGGTATTTTGATGAGGAACCCATTTTGATACACAAAGAGGGAAAAATAATTATTCCACTATAACAGATTTTTCCTAATACAAAGTTGAAAAAAGAATTATTCAACTATAACAGGTTTTTCCCAACACAAAGTTAGATAGGAACTAAAGAAACAAAAGGAGTATCCTAAGTTAGACGTTCAAATACCACATTATCATTAGTTCCACGCTAACTCAAATACTTTATTAATCTAACATATTATTTGAAGATTAATACTGTACATTACAACGTTAATAATAACAAAACTCTTAAGGTCCAAGTAAACGGTCGGCGATTAACATGTAATTGTTCTTATAAATTAACTTTTATTTAATATAAATATTTACAAGAGACCATAATAAAAGGTCTTAGAAAAATCACTTTATGAAAAAATATTCTAATACTTACTACCCTCAACATTCTAACCTTGTAAAATTATTTCTTATTTTTGAAATGAGCATAAGCATCGAACGAATTTTTATGGAACATTATTTTTGTAAGAATCCTAATTAAATTCAACTATTTTCTAACGCTAAGCTTTGTGAGGAGTTGTAACATCAAAACCAAGCTGACTCCGAACATGTCGACACATCAGACAGTCATACCGTAGTGAAATCAGACTAAGAAACAAAATTAATAATATGAAATTTAGACACTGTGTATTTTAAGCCTCAACGGAGGCATTTGTTAAGACATAAATTGGTGTGACCCGGATAGGGATAATACAAATAAATAAATTGGATTAGACCTAAGAGTCGAATCCAACAAACCCCCATCCATCCTACTTGGGTTGGTTTCGTTGTGTATGCATCTGGAAAATTATGTTGCTTATCAGCTTTCTCTCTTTCTAGATCTTTTGAATAACCTATTGATGTGGTGTTGATTCGCAATCTTTGGATAGGTGGACTGAGATTTCAATTTTCTTTTTTGAGCATTTCGAAACTTGAACTTTCATTTCTTAGGTTTCCAAATCTCAATCACACAAATGACTATATATATATATATATATATATATATATATATATATATATATATATATATAT